TCTTTCTGTTACTCAGTAGACGAACTTGTAAGTATTCACGTATTCCTAAGAGCAATAAGGTGTATTTATTGTTGCTGATTGTAAATGATAATGTCCTCTGGTTGATACAAATTTACAAGTAAAGTGTCTCAAAAGAAGAAAGCATTAAACTTACTGAAATTGTTATTTGACTGATTTGATTCAACCGGCTCTAAATAGTTATTTCTGTGCGAAAGTCAAATTGAAGTAAACCATTTAATGAAGAAGATTTTTGTTCTGTCTTCCTCCGCCACTGCATCGGCATAGAGGCTGTTTTTACACTGTAGTGCTTTGCAACTAATTGTTCTTCAAAGTTCTTTTTTGAAAAAAAGTAAAGATAGGAGTTACTTTAAATTCACGCAGAGTCTAACAGCTGTGACTTTTAAAAGAAGGAGAAATTTATACATACTTGCAATACAAATATATATCTATTGAAATTCATGTAGTTGTATTAATGTAACTTCTATCATACCAATTTTTTTATGAGAAGCTTAAAAATACATACATTTTGATTGGCTTTTTCTTATGATCTATTGGTGGACAGACGTATAGGTGATGCCACCATTAACAACAGTTTGCTTTTTAATCATATAAAACATATTTTATCATAAACTCCCTTTTGCCGTGGGCCTGTAAAGTAATAGACCACACCAGACATCAAAATGTGGTAAGAACATCAGTGACACATCCAGCTGCACCTTGTTTTCCCCATTTTTTTCCATACCAAATTTCAGTTTCCCCTTTTTTTCATTTCAAATTTCATGGCAACATGTAACTTTGTGTTTAAAAACAGGAGACATAGTGTATTCTAGCATCTGAGCTTACAAATCAGGAATGATCTATTTACAAGCTAATTTTGTGGTTCGTAACTGACAAAAATTCTCTCTGCATTTGTTGTTATTTCAGTTTTTGATTAATGGAGAGGGTTCACCAGTTCATCAGCCAAATGCAGATTTTGAATTATCGCAGACAAGCCTACTTCCTGCAAGTCCTTCTACCATTAAGACAGAAGCAACTCTCGCACCACTTGCATGCAATGTCAAACAAGAGAAAATACTCATGCAGTCATGTGGTGTCAAATCCATCCAACCTATGCCAGTGGTTACAGCTGTACCTGTCAGTATTCAGAAGGCACAGATTGGACAACATGCTACGAAAAAACCTGCCGGAGGTACATATAAAATTTATATAATTATATGTAGCAACAAACTTGATTTTCTAAATGCATTTTTACTCAAGTGACAGAACTGTCATGAAGAACCAATAACAGGCCAACTTTCACCTTTTTTTATCAGGTTTAGATGTGTTAAAAATTTGCTTAACCCTTTAAATCCCAAGATCTGATTGTTAATTCCTCCCTCTAGCTACTACACATTTCCTTGTAAATTAGTAATGAGAATTTGGTGTTAGATCAAGATAACAACTTCTACCTGATAAGTTTGAAGATTCTCATTAAATGTTTGCTGGATAATGTAAGGATATTATAGGGAGAAGTTTCATGTTGATCATTTTTGGGAGTTAATGGTGAAAGGTGTGTGCACACTTTGTGGAATGTGTGGGAGTCTGGTGAATAGTTTCTTGCTCCAATCTTGCATGCAGTCTGACCAAACAACATGGCATCGTGATAACTTGGCCATCTGCATGTACTTTATCTTATTTATCTACTTCTAATTTACACTTTAAAGCCCTGATTCCATGAATGTTGTCATTTTCTCAATACTTTGACTTAAATGATGTAACCTTTGTTTTCCCAAGGTATTCCTGTATATATTCCTTGTACTGGTTCACTACCAAGCAACGGTGTTGTATCAGTTGTAGTTGGGGTAAGTACAATTTGTCTTCATCACTTGTTTTGTGGTTTTTGTGATTATATTATATAATTTCTTTTCAATTTCTGGGGTAAATCAACTGTTAAAACAACTGCTTTTTCAGAAGTTCAAGTTTATGTGCAAGTAACCTATACATACATGACTGTAAACATGTGTGTTCAATGTTTGTCTCTTTTTTTTTAACTCATCTTTAGAAGAATGTTAATTCTACATTACCCAAAGCAGTAAATGTTGGCATCACAAGGTCGAGTACTACCTCCCCAGAAACTGATGTAAGTACCTTTTCTTTCAACTTTGACACAGCATAACCTGTGTTATATATTAGTTTGCTCACAATATGATGTTGTTATATGACGTATATTGTCCTTTGCATGCTTTTATCATTTTATCACATACCTGATATCATTCAATGCTGTGCAAGGTTTTAAATCCAATGCATTTTTCTTTTGTAGGCAAAACTTTTGAAAAGACAACAGAGAATGATAAAAAATAGAGAATCTGCATGCTTATCCAGAAAGAAGAAGAAAGAGGTGAGAAGACTGAGAACTTCACTTAGATATTTGATTAAATGATGGGCATTGAAATAAAGATTTCTTTCTTTTTACTCAGACTATTAAACTGAACCTGTGAGTCACTGAACAGCTGAACAAGGCAAAATTATTTTATTAATGACCTGACATTTGCCATATATTATTATATCCATTGTGCCTATGTCCTCTGTAGATGTCAAGAAAGACATTTTCAAAAGGAAGGAGAAAGATTGGTGATGAATAGCAAAGCCCATATTTGTCGTGTTGTACTTGGCAGGGATATGAAAAAACTATTGTATATGTCATGGTCAAATTTTATCCTTGGTTCAAATTTTGTTTTCTTTCGTTTTTGGGTATTGTAATGAATGGTAATGAGTTTGAAACAATTTAAAATAAAATTTGAACCAAGGATAAAATTGAACTATAATATATACTCTTGAACTCTGTTGCTCTCTGCTGACATGTTCATGGTATTCTTTCAATAGTACCTACAAAGCCTTGAAACTAAAGTTAAAGAGATCTCAAACATAAATGAATCATTACGAATGCAAAATGAAGGCTTAAAAAGAAGGGTAAATGAACTGGAAGTAGAGGTAAGTAAAAAATTTTCAAACACTTCACTGCCTGGTGGTTAGTATGTCTTCCTTACATGCACATCACATCTGGAATATGCATCATAAACTTGTACACAATTGAACAACTATGGTATATATATGCTAGTCATGTTAATAAATGTTCATTTATACAGTCATATGAAATACAGAGCAATATTTTTTATGGCTACTCAGTAGTATCTATAGGTGACACTATACATTTGCATCAAAGAAATATTTGAATGTGTTTTTCATAAATTTTATGATAAATTTTGGATATAGAACGCGCTTTCATTGGTTGAAAGAGCATACTCCATGAGAGTATAGACCATAGAGCTAAGCTAAAGCTGTTATACCATCTGCTAAATTGTACTAAATCTCGTGTTTCTTCCCAGACTTCTTTTGTGCTCTAGCCGCTTCCTGCATGCTTTACAACAGAACAAAGCACAGTCAAGGCTTCTGGATCAGTTAAATATTGTTTCCATTTATGTTTCTTGAACAGAATGCACTGTTGCGTAGCAAACACCCAGAGTTGACCAGCACCATTAAGAAATCCACTTGTGTTTTGGCTGTTGTTCTGTTTGTGGCTCTAAATTTTGGTCCCTTCAGGTAAGTGCTTACTGTGCAATTACTTTTCTCTTTATGTATTACTATGTGTTATTGATTGCTTTTAAACTGTTGACACCTGCATGTTTAGCCAATGACTTGTCCTTTAATCTTGAGTGTTCCAGAGGCGATAGATATGTGACTTCTCCCTACAATATCAATACATTTTTCAGCATATCAGTGGTGAGAATCCAGTCATGGCCTTGGTTTTTTCTTGATGGGACACCAGATCATCCCAATGTAACCTAAATCTTAAACCTACCAAACAAAATTTGTCCTTACAATATAAATACAATATTAAGCAGACAAGTGATAAGAATAAAGAAAAATTTACATTTTTAAAGGGATTATTTGTTGATCCAATACCAAATTCTTAGAACTAACATCATAAGAATTTTATAGCAGACAGCAAGGAGAATAACTAATGAGACCTTGGGAGTGAAAGGCTTAAACTTAACCTTTTAACTCCCTGAAGTGACTAACATGTAACTTCTCCCTATAATTTGCACACTATTTTTAGCAAATGATTAATGTGAGTACTCAAACTTATTAGGTTTAAATTTTTTATCCTCTGATCTTTCACCAAATTCTCGCAACTAATTTACAAGGAATTGTGAAGCAGCAAGAGGGGAGAATTAACAATCAGATCTTGGGAGTTAAAGGGTTAAATAAATCCCTCTATGCCAACTGAAAGAGCAAATTTCCTGCATATCAACTAGCAAGCACAGTCTATAAATTCCTCATTTCCAAACTTTGTTTTATGACACCGACAGCAACCTCAAGGAACAATGGAAATTTAACAAAGCAGATCTGCTACCAGGCTCGGTTGTCCGTCATGGAAGAGCTCTTCTCAATTACCAAGGAGATGGGGATGGTAGTGACCTTGATAAACCACTGGTGTTTAGCCCTGTCAATAAACGTCGTGGAAGGCAACCATTTGCCAAGGCTGACCCCAGCATGCTCAACACATCTCACAAAAAGTCTTCACTGCTAAAGAGTAGAAATGCAGAGAGGAAGGACTTGATGGTGATCAGGAACAAGTGGGACTTCCTCGCTGATTCAAGGCAGAAGAGAAGGAATTTAAAAAGAAAGGAAAGGAATCCTAAGTCAAGGAGAAAGATTGCTGAGAAACAACATAATGCAACATTGGATGAAGATCAGTTTTACTGCCCAAGCAATTTAAACAAGACTGAAGTGAACAGGTTAGTAAATTTAACTCAGTTTAATCAGCAAATGTTGCTTTCTGATGACTGAAAAATTCAGATTGGCTTAGAGAAAGGAGTGTTGAATGAGAGAGTAGAGCATCATTTGGACACAAAGTGCCTTCCTCCCTCTTTTGATCTTTTGATTCCTCTGCTTTCCTGATGCATTTTGCTCTCATTTCAGACCAGAATTAACCCATTAACCCTTAAGAGTGACTAGCATCTAATTTCTCCTTACAATATTACCACTGAATCACACATTAATGTCATGAGAATAAAAAAAATTATCACTGACTAAAGAAACTCTTGATTGTTAGACAAATTCTCCTTGTCAGCACCTTAGTAAAGGTACAGAGAACAGTATGGAGAATATGAATACTGATGTTAGGGAGTAAAGGGTTAGACAGTTGTGATGCATTGTTCTGGTGTATACAGGAAGTTTTCCCCCTGCAATTGCCAATTGACAACCTCAATATGTGCACATGCTTGGCTGTGCAGCTTTGGGGAAAAAAATCAGACATTGGACATGCTTTGACTAGCAACATCTGAGAACCTGTTTTAGTTGTTTCTTCACAATACTTTTTTCTCCTCTTAGGATAAATGAGGCTCTTGAAGGCTGGGTAAAGAGATATGAAAATCAGCAGATCTTAAAACAGAAAAAACAAAAGCGTCAGCAGACCAAGGTGAGACCTTAACGTTGCAGAAGTCAAAATGTGGACACTAGTTGATTAGGCAACCAACTTTACAGGCTCCCATATTTTCTTGTCAAGTCTATATACAGTATGTCTGTCCACTTTGATTAATAAGTCACACAGACCTGCGCTGTCAATACTGACCTGCTATGGGGGATTCTTATATTATATTGGTGTGCTTTGTTTCATTTTAGATGCAATCTGTCATCAAAGAGCTTGCCTTGAGACTGGCATCAAACTGCACATCAGAGGCCAAGCGAAAAATTAGCAGGTTGGTTTTCAAGTCTGCTCCTTATGTTATCTTTAGTAGATTTGAAGACATTCTATCCATTGCATTTAGATACATGTACATGAGGCTGGTGCTTGGTGATGGAATGTTAACTTAATGGTTCTTTTCTGCTCTAGGCACAAGTTTTCACGGAAACACAATACTGCTTCTACACATGAAGTACAATTATTCCAAAGGGCCAATAAGTAAGTCCAAGAACTTAACTTGGTTCACAATTCGCAGTATGCATCTTGTTTACTTGGTAGAGAGCTAACTGTGAAACGTTTTTGTCTATCACTTCAGATTCAAAACTTTTGAGGAAGAAATTAACAAGAAATCAGACACTTTGTACATAGTTTCTTTTCGAGGGGTGAGTGCATTCATCCTTTCACCGTACAGTGTATTACTGCAATTAAGAATTGTATTCGTAAAATTGTACGGTGTATTACTGCAATTAAGAATTGTATTTGTAAAATTGTACGGTGTATTACTGCAATTAAGAATTGTATTTGTCAAATTGTATGATGTATTACTGCAATTAAGAATTGTATTTGTCAGCTGTGTCTTTGGATGATTGTGTTTGCACCGGCAAGAGATTCATTTATTGCAATGTTTCTTTTTCTGTCAGGATCATTTGGTATTTCCTGCCACCGAATACAACACAACACAAAGGCCTAAGATGTCATTCATGATTATGGCACCACCCAACAGTAAGTTGGAGTCGTCTCCATGTCATATTTGTAGATGCACACCCTCCCCTACCCCCTAACTCTGCTCTGCTCCCCTCCTGGATTTCCTCTGGCCACAAGCATCGCAAATAACCCTATTATTTTCACAGAAAAGTCTGTAGGGCGTGGCATACAGCAGGGAAAAGGAGGGGATACCCTGGTGTACTTCAAGGCAGTTCCAAGCCACATACCAAGAGTAGTGTCACTCTTTCCGATTTTGAGCAGTTGTTATAGGCCATTTTATAGTTGTGTACTTAGCTACCAAGTCTTTGATTTGGAGTGAGGCTGAAGGTGATCTTGTTGTGATAGAAACTAGTATCTATTTAGCATGATAACAAAGTAATTTACATTTGAAAAGCAGCAACATTTGTATCATAACAAGGTCACCCTTGGCCTCACTCTTGTTCAAAGGTCTGGCAACTAAGCACGCACCTGTAAAATGGACTATTCAGTCTAAGTTGGAAATGCATTGCTCGCAGGTGACGAACCAACCATTCCAGATTGTAGTGACCCTTTTCAATTCTCAGTCGCACTCTGTGTAGTCTTTCGGTAGACTATTATCACCACTCTTGTTTCCTAAAAAAGAAAGCGATGCAATTTAGAAAGTCACCTGTATGTACGGAGATATTCTTTAACATGTAAAGTGAACACCTGAATTTCTGACTACAGTGTTTAAAGATGGTCTGAAGTTTGCCTTCGCTTTGCTTTTAATCCTAGGAACGGAGTGGCAGCATAATAACGCCAGGAAAACTGACTTAGTCACTATGATGCAAATCGACTGCCAAGTTATGGACACGAAATTTATCAACATCAAGAAGTCAAGCATTCCCATGCCCCACCCCGATAGTTCTTCTTTTGGCACCTCGACACCAGTCTCCGTCCCTCACGATTTTAGCGCTCCTTCTGGGAATACTTTCGTGAAACCCGCGAAATAATTTACCTGAATGAACACTGGGAAAGTAGGTCTGACCGTATTTGAGAGCCTTCCAAGAAGATATATTTCTATACCATTTTTAGTACTAGTCCTTTTATGTATGTTGTATCCCAGTAAACGAATAAAAATTTTGAGCCCTACGGAGGATATAATTAAATCGCGTAAATGTTTTCGACCTTTTCACTTAAAGTGAAGCACCCTTTTCAGTTAAACCATTTAAGTCATCTTTCACACCTTGCACCTAGGCTCGACCTACCGTAGCGCCTGATCAAAGAATATGTAATGAACTTGTATACTTTATGTCACTCTCAGTTTTTATTCACAAGAGGCCCTCCACTCTTAAGTAACCGGTTTGCTGTAGCAGAAACCTGTGGAGCAGATATTGTCGATAGACCAAGTTTGTAATGTATGTATGAAAAAACAAAACAAAACGAAACCAAAAAATAAAATAAAAAATAAACTTAGTGAATTTAACAGAAATTTGATTGTGTTTGAGTCGCATTCAAGCAGATAGAGTTCTTTTCCCGTTAGATGATAAGGAATTTTGTCGATCGCAATAGTTTTGCTTTACTTTGCTCAATGCCTGGTCATAGAAAACACCCGTCATTCCCTTAGTCAATCAGATTCAACACAAAGAACCAATCACGACTCGGTCACTCGTGGAACTCCTTCGAGGGGTGTTCTTTTTTCCTTGTTTTTTTTTTGTAACTCCCAACAAGATCACCACCACAAACCCGCGTTTGGGTCACAAGTTTCTGGTATCTGAGGTGAAGCTGTCCACACAGTCAGTCAGTCACAACGCCGAAGAAGGAAGTTTAGGGGAGAAAGGGCGTCAAAATGATAACGGCCTCAAAAGGGAAGCACAATTCTAGGGGATGATTGTCGCAAAACGTATCACAACTCGTCCTGCTTCATGTTTGCCTACAAACGAGTTCTTGAACTCATTGACGTCACGTGGTTAGATAAATTGACATTATCCATTAGTTAAGAACCAAATCCCGTGATTTAAGACATTTTCTTAAAATATTTATTTTCACCCAATATCTTGAGTAAAATTAGTCAATAAGTCTTCACTTAAATAACGAGATCATCGTTTATGGTTCCCATTCACGAAAAGTTGAGGAACGTTTTTTCAACACATGATAGCCTTCATGATGATTTAAATTCATAAAAAAAAAAACTTACCGTTTGGTCTGCCAAGAAAAAAAAACACTAAAAAGAAGACAAGCCCGTAAAAATCTACTTATTGCGTCACTAGCTCTCAAATAAAAAACCATTTAAAAAGTAATAGCAACAAAAGGGAACGAGTGGAAAAGTCGTGGAACACGACTGAGAGGACCCGATCATGCTACGGAAACCATCATGACAGCTATCATGAAAATTGTTGTTATTAACGATACGGCACTAGCGCTTCTTCGCCTGCGGGAAGGCATGAAGCCTTGGGCAGCATGAAAAGATGATGATGCCAGACCCCCTGCAAACTTCACCCCAACTCCTCTCAAATCTTCCCGCGTGCGGAGAAGCGCGCGTCTTCTAGCGCTAATAACATGCTAGAAGATTGTCTATGACGGCTTTTTGATCGAGGTGCGACACCAATCCAAAATTACGTCCAATCGATGATTTTGCTTCCGTCAGCTGTGATTGGTTTTATACTCTACCAATCAGATGCAAAACTTAGACATCTGTAAGTCAGTCACGTGTACTTGTATGGACTTTATATTGGCTCTTTTATATTTACTTTTGCTGCGATTGGCAGTTAATTCACATGGGTTTCACGTCACTCAATCAAAAAACCGCTCTAATGCTTTAGTTAGCCTTACTTAACGTATAAAACTACTCGTATTTGGCCGATAAACAAAAATCGTTGTGATCCGCTTATAGAAGATTCTTGCAAAATAACTTCATTGAAGTCCCCCAATATAGCGTTTATAGCTCGAGTAGAAAATGTAACCTAACATTGCACAATAAATGCAGCCTGCAGAGTCCCCAGTCCGAGAAAAAAAGCAAAATGTTTTTTGCACAAGTATTAAACTGTTGCTTGCTTGATAAAACTTTAGAACAATAACCATCCATAAAATAAAAAATTTAGTATAAAAACTTCATTCGAAGTCATGGACTTGAAGCAAGCTTATGTCAACAGTTCATAACTTCCACCGTAGCGATTCGACTTCTTAGGAATGTTAAGAAACATTTTTAAAAAAATCTCTAACGACTTAATTGCCTTGCTTCACACAACAACGACGCCGTATCTCGTTATATTTAACTTAGTACACATGAAATTGCGAGCTGTCAAGATTGGTATTTTTTGGGTTCTTAAGAAACAGCATACGAGGTAGAGGCTGAAAAATCTTCTTTCGAGGCGATAACGCACAAAATCCGCCAAACAGTTCAACAAAAACTTGATACAAAGACTGAACACAGAATGCTTTTGGCAACACGAAAATCATTACCTAGCTTCAGTCTTAATATGTTAAAATGTGAGTCCTTAAGCGATATTTTCACATTATCATATATTAAATAAAATAATCTATACTTAAGTTACGGTAGATTATAAAAACAAAAATTTAGCGCTTTCTATAGGTCTGACCACCCAATTCTTTGCGCGAGCTAGCTCGTATAAAACACAATAATGAAAATATTTTGCCTTGAAACACAAATATTCTAGTTTCAAAAATTAAAACCACCACGGTAATCCCAACTGAGTCTGCAGTCATAGCAGTCAGCTTCGTCCCTGGTAAGGATACGTCACACAAAGTTCATAATATTTGGGGTGTCAGGAGTTACCACGTGACTTGCTTTCTGCCGTTCTGATTGGCTTATGCAGCACGATGCTCACGGCTGGTCATTAATAACCGTCTTGGATCATGCTTCTACTGATTGCTGTTGTTCAACAAGAAAAACTCGGAGACAATCCGTTGGTCTTTCGTACTGCGTCGAAGTGTTGATTAATAAGCTTTGTTAGCTTTGAATCTCTTCACTTTCCTCGAAGGTGATCAGATTCTGTGGAACCTAAAAGTTACAAAAGCAGATTGATTTACAACCAGCAACACAAAAAACGAAAAAAACAAAAAAACCCAACATACGCCCCTGGTTTCAGTTCGTTCTCTGACTATCATAGAACAAAGGGATACCAAATAAATCATTAAGAGTTCACAATGACTGACCTTATATTCTAGTCTAGTCTTGGCAGCCCCTTGTAAGTAACGGTACCACAACAAGGCATTTGCTTTGGATCCCACCTTGAACTTGTAAGAGTTTCCTGAGAATATAAATATAAGTACATCGATCGTGAGCTTATGCTTCTTTTTTTTCGGTTTGGTATTTGAAGAATTGAGACGATAATTCTTGTTTAACGAGTGTTTTCGGTAGAGCATACGTTTCTATCACACATTAACACACACACAACGCGAATCATGGTAGAGTTTTCATCGGCCAGAATAAAATTTCCACTGCAATGACTCAATGAAAAGAAATGATGTGACAGCGGAGCCACAACCATTGCCACATTTCCTTCTCTAACTTTAAAATTTCATATATCACATACTAACGATAGTCATCTTATCTAACCTACATCTTCGAAACCGAAAAAAAAGTGGAAACAGGCTTGACATTAATTATAAATATCATTAATTATTTTGAATCCACCTAAGACTAAAAAAGAGACAGTGAAAGCAAATACTGTACCTTTTATGTCATCTGTAAGTTGGAAAGTATCCGGGTGGCGCGGATCATCAAGCAAAACAACAGAGAAATCAGAAATGTTCACCTTTTTGTCAGGGTTTTCTTTAAACTGCTCAAAAAGAAAAAAAAATTAGATTCGACCAACCACTAACATCATTGAGGGCAACTAAGAGTGCAGACGGAACCGAAAATACAGTTGTCTAAAAATCTTTTTCAGTAAATGGTTTGATCTCGGTAGTGAAGATGGCCGTCGAAATGTCAGTCCTTCTCAGGACTACCCACACCTGGATGATCAAACTACATAAACCAAAACCCCGTTGCTAACGGATAAAATACTCTTCGATGGCCTATTAATTGTCTATGCAGTACAGTGTAGTTCTAGATTTGGCGGCCTCGTGATGTATATTTTTCTTAAATAATGCATGTGCCTATTTTCATGACTTGTACAGTACATACAGCAGCTCTGTCCCGCCTGAAGGTTCTATGTCGGGGAAGAAAGAGGTGAAGCCAGCTTTCGGCAAGTCCTGCCCAGAACTTTTGCCACGACGACACCTATAATCAAACAATAAAACCCACCAGCTTAAATCATTGGTATCACAAGAAACTGTGAGTTTTAGCGAACACGGTACCAGTCAGTTCTTACGCTTTAGAATGCGATTAAATGAAGTAAAGTAATTTGTAAACAGTCAATATAAAAACAGAGGAAAACGTCAATCTAAAAAGGGACTTCGTCTTTTCTTGACAATTTCGCGAATGGCTGGATGTATTTACTGTCCGTAACGGCGCCAGACCGCAACTTCAGCATACTATCTGAGAGAAGCGTTCAGTTCCAAATAGAAAGGCTATCCTCTGATAAATCTCTATCCGGAGGATAGCGCAATATATTTTGTCAACACTTGTCCGCTAAACACCAAATTATCCGGCGTAGGATAGCGTCATCCGCCCTCTTAAACTAGGCCATGCTCATTAAATCTTTTGTTTTGCCACGTTGTCGCCGTTTCCGTTGAGGTTTTCTATCGGGCAGGTTATACCACTACCCGTAAGTCGGCCTTTAACTGCACTCACCGTCATCTTCTTGCCTTTCTTCAGACATTTCTTTCTTTTGACAAAACTTTCAATTAAAAACTCTTGATTTGATGGACACAGGTTGTAGTCTTCACTGCCATTGTAACTAGTTATACTGTAAAATAAAGTTAAATGCACCATGTGAATAAAAAACGATCAGAGGTCGGGGTGGGGGAGCGGCGTGTTGGGAACCTTCTGTCGAATGGATCTTGATTACTATTCAAGCGAGCAGAACATCGCGAGTGCTTTGCAGTATTTCGCTTAATTACCTTAAAAATAATGTAAACCAAAAGCGACACTCACCTCCGGCTGTCTAAAGTTGTGTCTGAAGACGTCAAGTTTCCTACAAGAACGAGTATGTGATACAAATGTACAGTTGTAAGTCAATCAAAGATTGCTGAAAAAAGAAGCTGTTTAGCGATTGACTCGGGATGACCGGGAGCTCATTGCTCGAAATTCCCGGCATTATACAATTTAAATAAAAAATAATAAAAAATAAAAAAAACTAATGTGCCAAAACAAGTTCATTCTGTTCGTTTCCTACTATTGTTTAAATTCCAAAGCTATCAATATTTTGATCATCCATGAAAACGAAGCAAAAAAAAATTGAAAATAGAAAAAAAACTTCTCAGTGCCATAAGAAATGTCGAGAGAACAGCATGGAGAATAGGCATACTGATGTTGGGATGTAAATGGTTAATTTGTTCCCCACACTCATTTTGTAGAACACTCCTTCCCAGGACCCATCTGATGTTCGTTCGTCCGCTATTTAATTTTTCTCCTCTGACAGAGACCACTACCAACAAGGCTTTTAAGACTATTCTGACCTCCTCCGTATGAAGTTCCTCTACGAGGATTTTCATAAGAGAAGTACAGTACTTACCCAAGGAGGACCTATCGTCAAAGGGCTCACTATCATCCAGAAGATTCTTTGATCCAGTGCTGCTTGCTATACTACAGCTAAAAATCCAATAATGACATGTAAGATCGTGAACTAGAAAACAAGCACCAACCTGTCAACCCCTACAATGCAAAGCTACGACCAGTTTCGACAAAGAGCGCTATTCGTCCGAGTGTCGTTTAACCAAAACCAAAGCAATCACAACAGCAAATCATAGGAAGAGAAATATCACGAGGAGCCGATGAGAACTCGAAGAGAAAGCAAGAAAATTGCCCGAAGCGCAGGAAAACGCGAATGACCGAGTCGCGCGCTGGTTTAAGTTTTGAATCCGATTGGTTGATATAGTCACGCGAGTCAGTTCTAGACCAATCACATAACGAGGTAAAGCGAAAAAGAGAAATCCCGGAATATATTCATAAACAATCGAAAATAGCTCTAATGGCACGATTTTCCTTGCGCTACAAGCTTAGCAACTTGCTTCTTTATGTATTAAGCTCTTGCTGCCCCTTTGCGACGCTTTCCTTCGTTCTGATTAGCCCTTGTGGTAACTGTACTTTGAGAAACTGGTCTCCCTTTTTTTAAAACCGAAGTTGCTATGCGCTCTTTCATTCAATGCAATCTTAGCAGAGCAACTCACCTAAGAGACTCTGATGACGATAAACCACCTCCTCCAACAATACTGAACACACTGAAATAAATACAAGCCAGATATTCAGCTGTTCAACTGAAACTGCGCAATCAACACAAGTGTTAAATGTAAGTATTTTCATCCTTACGAGTGCCTAGCATCTAATTTTTCTTTACAGTATCACTGCCCGATCAAACATTCAGTCATGAGAATCAAACTAATGATCACAACCTGAAGGAGATCTTGATTATAAGAGAAATTCTCCTTGTTATCACCACAGGAAATATATAGAGGTCAGTAGGGAGTATATGCATACTGATGCAAGGGTGTTAAGGGTTACACTGTTACGTTTGCCTTACTTAGTCCCTAGGCTGTGCGCTTTTCTATGTCCTCGAACGAATTTTGCCTTTGGATGGGCCGGAGAGTTTCTTGGTATATCTAAAAAAAAAAAAAACATATAGGACAGTTTATGGTGACATACATGAAATAACTTGAACTGGAGATCCATTGTTCGAGGGGAACGCTTCTGCTATATTTACGGATTCCAAATAAGGGAAGAGGGTAAAACAATGGCCTCTTTCAAGAAACAAAATACTAAAGTCTCTTTAGAACCCAAAAAATGTGTCCTGACTCTGAACGAGCTGCTTCCATTTCAGTTAGCCAATCTGGCTTCCAATAGCTCAGATTTTCTTCACCCAGCCTAATCTTAATTACAAGGGAAATCATTAGTACATCGTGGAAAACCATTGCCCACGTAAACTCAAATCTACACTGAATATGCTTGTAAAGAAAGATGAATGAAACACATGATGCACAATTGTGATGTCACTCTGAAGGAACACATCCAATACTCTGTACTCACCACTTATGCTTTCTCTTGATCGAGATGAGGCTTTGCCATTCAGGTTTGATGAACTTGCTTTAGGCTCAATTTTAAGAGACAACCTAACACGACAAAAAAGATTGAATATATTGTGTTCAGTCTGTGAGCAAGTTTCAGTAAGGCTTTTTACAATAGTTACAGGTTTCACAGCGCAAGTGTAAATGAATACAGTTTGAATTCTCACTTGTAGTTGTCATCCTCCATAAACCTCTGCAGCTCATCGATATAGTTGACAGATTTAAGATAGGTTTGAATGTGGGCTGCTGGCTCAAGGTCATCTGGAGATAAAAGGAAAATACAACAGCTTGTGTTACAATTTCTAGCCTCTCCTGTGCACTTTAAATTGAGCCATAAAGGGAACAACAAAGTCCTGACATATTGAGGTATTTTTTGTCTTTTTAATTGCCTTGCCACAACTATTTTATTAGTTATTCAAAATGTATCCAAAAAGTTACTAACCATAAGTTGACCTTTGGAATTCTGAGATCAATCTGATTACATCATTCATCTATAAATAAAAACAAAAGCATTTTTATAACATGAACTTTGTCTTGGAATCTCATTAGTGTAAAGTATAAAATCTTAACACCACTCTTATACTCTCAAACACTTTGTGTAAATATTCCAGTACAAAACTTAAGTCTCAATTCCAATCAACTCGCATTTGATCTTTTATGGCAAACTTACCATTTAAAGCTTAAGATCTACATGTACATGTATTTGCAGAGGGAAAAAGGGGCATGCAGAGGGTTCCTTCCTGCTCCCCAAGTTGACCTACTCCTCTCTAATACATGTAAAGTATTAAACTCCAAGGTTGTACAAAATCTACTGTAATGTTTGCTTTGTATCCTCAGTAGTTCACATTATGTTATTGCCTAGTCATAAGCCTTCTTCCCCATTGTTCACTTTTAAAATTTGTTTATGTTGACCATCAGTAACATCATCCTTTAGTGGGGCACCCCTTCTCCTTAGAAAAATCCTGGATCTGCCTCTATGTCGCATGAAGTTGTACATACTGTACCTTGTGAGTTCTAGCCTCATCTATTCCTCCAGTATTGGGATGTACAGTGTCAATGTAAGTTAAATCTGTCAGGTACATGCCTGAAGCAAACAAATAGAAACTCTTACAACTGATGGAACAAACTATTGTATTTGACAGGCTCGAATTGTCTACAAGCATGTAGAACTGTACAAACAAAGCTATTTTAAAAATAGGCAGGTATTCCTTAACCTTTTAGCTCCCAGGAGTGACCAAGACAGAATTTCTCCTAACAATATCAATACAATATCAACCAGATATTAAGTGATAAGAATAAAGAAAAATATCAAATTGGGGATAATTAGTTGATTCAATACTAAATTCTCTGAACTAACATCATAAGAATTGTATGGTTGACCGTAAGGAGAAACAGAAATTTGATCTGGGAGTTAAAGGGTTAAGTACACAGTGGATAGGAAACAGTTGATGATGATGGTTCAGTTCAACAAGCCTCACTGTTGGGCTTAGTATAATGGCTCATGTGCAAAGGAAATGTACCACAGCAGGCTCTAAGGTAGTAGGAACTTTAGAATTACATACAACGATAACATTATCGATTTATCATACCAAGATATGGAATACAGGGTAGTTTCACTGAATCCAAGTAGTCTCTCAGTTGTTTCCTGAAAAAAAAAAACTCAAGTGAAAAACTCTTTATTTTCAATTGATCTACATGTACAATGTATGTGGCAGTTTCAGGTACAGTTACTACATGCACAAAGTGCAAAAAATGTATTTCACTGTGCTACTCCTTTTGCCTCAAGATAAGTACTCATTACAAGATGGATTGCATTACTAATACCCATCAAATTTATGCAAATGTTAGCATGTTCTTTTGGAACATCTTTGTGGACTCATGGTGTGGCCAAAAGTTCCAAACAAATTGGTATTCATTACATGTGGGAGACCTAGTAACCCCATAGCTCACCAGAATTAGTTTTATTCTTCTTTCAGTGGCTCTCCGCATCACAAAAACATAACAAACCCTCAAAGAAATGTGTACCTGTAGTAGCTAGAGGTGAAAATTAACAATCAGATCTTGGAAGTAAAGATCTAAAACAGTGCATACACTGTCTAATACCTGTTATCCTCTTCGGAAAGAAGTTCTGCAAATCTGTCAAACTGGGCTTTATCTTTGCGCTGAATTAACTACCAAAAAAAAAGTATCCAATTTTTAACTCAACCTGTTACCATTAGTTATGGTTGTACTTGTTGCTATCTGGCTAGCACAAAGAGCAGATGAGATGAAGTGAATTCTGGTTCTGATAGACTACCTACACATGAGCAAATGTTCCAATGCCTGGGAAGTATTCTCTCAGGTTGTCAGAACCAAGCAGTCTTACAGTAGTTACAACTACAAGTCCATACAAGCCAGTAAGTAAAGATGCTTTAAAAGAGCATAATTTTTTTTTAATAAAGCTCAAAACAAAATGGTAAATCGACAGGATAGCCCTAATTACATGTAAATGTTAGGCTTTTAGTCCAAAAAGTATTGAGTTTTCCTTTACTCAACATTTGCTTTCTTTAATAGATTCCTGTGAACATTTCAATTTTTTTCATTAATTTGCATGACAGCAGTTGTTTCTTGAAATTTTACTCAAGTAATTGGCACATGGCCAACTGAAATTAATTCCTGTGTGTATGCCCAACATTTGATGGCTGTGTTGGTCATTGTGTTGCATTCTTAGGGAAGGCATTTTACTTTAACAGGGAAATGCAATGATAAGTTGAAGGGGAAACAATGCAAAGATAAGTTTGAGGGGAAACAATGCAATAAAGTTAAGTCCTAATCCACAGTTTGGGCAGTGCATTAGCATGGTGCTGCTTATGCTCCAAATTACTTCATGATAGCAGTAACCTTTGGCAGTAAGGGCCTCTAGGTTGTAAGCTGATTTAATCCTTGGTTCCACAGATTAAAAAGAAAAAAATGAATGCATGTACATGGAATGTCCAACCTACCGCCCAAGTATTGTTGAGTCTGTACACAGGAGCACTCTGAAGTCCAGAAATGACAGCTTTCAAGGAATGAAGATTGTTCAACTCAAACAGTTTCTGTATGATTTACAAATATTAAAAAGATTGAGTTAAGAATTATTCAGAGAGGACTGTGTAATGTGAATATAGGTGCACATTTATATACCACCTTGTCAGAACGTTAAAACAGATACAATACATCACTAAAGTTGCAGACTTAGTCGTAAATCATTTCAATCTCTATGTTCAGCTTTTTTCTCTAATTTATCAACTGTTTTAAAAGGCTCACAGTACCTTTGCTATCTTGATAAAATGGGTGAGGACAGCAGCTCTTGTCTTTTTCTTGTTGGCATTCAAGATTTCTCTCACCACCCAAAAGCTGACCTGCGTAGAGTTAAATGTGTGATTATTACAGCAAGCATAATTTTATGTAATTATGAAAAAAAAATTGGTAACCCTCCACACCCTAACATCAGTGTCTAATATTCTCTACACTCTTTTCTATACATTTTCTTTGGTCCTGAAAAGGAGAATTTGTTTAACAATCAATTGAAACTGCCTACAAAAGGTTGGCAATTATTTCATTTATTTTCGTGATCTTAATGAAGTATTACTGTAAGGAGAGATTAGATGCTGGTCACCCTTAGGGTTTACAGGGTTGAAAGACAGAAAAAAGGTTAAAAGCAGACCAAAATTTCAATTTTGTTGGGTTTATTTTATGAACCATACAGTAACTGGTAACAAACAGCACATAGCAACCTTACGTCACAGCTAATAAATTGATGTAAGTCATAGAGTGAATAAAATTAGTGTGTAATGTAGCGAATCACTTTACCCTGATTATAAACAGAGAGAAAAAAAAAACCTGTTTATATCAATAATATTCAAGTTTACCATACTGAAAACAACACAAAGAGCAATTTGTACAGAGAAGGCTCACGACAAGACTTACATGGTTAAACCTCTTTGTAAATGCAACAATGTTTGGTGCAAGCTCAACCTTTTGCTTCTTCGTCCAGCCAACTCCTGATAGTTCCTATAATAAATATGCATTGTTGAATGAGCATGAGGTCAAGACAACTATATACTGGTCAAGAATGAGGCTTGACAAAACAAGCTTGGTCCATAAGGGATTCATTACATAAAAAAATATTTAGTTCTAATAAGAATCATGAATGACTTGTTTAATTCAGGAGCCAGAAAAGAAAGCCACCTGTGTCTGTAGCACAATAAACATATGAGAGTTGTTTATATTTTCTTTGTTTTGACTGTCTACTGTAGCTTTTTGCTACTCCATTATCAACATTGTCTAAAAATTCAATTTGCGCAAGATCAAAGCTGACAATCCTGAACACATCTTGCCTGCTTGGGTAGCCATTCAGAACACAGGATTTGCTTCATAGTAGCCACAAGCACTGCTGACAATACAACTATGATTGATATTAAAATATTATAGCTGCATGTACATTGTAATGATAATGTTACTGAAAACCCTGTTTAAAGAACAATAAATGGTTGAATCCAAGAAGAACAGCTGATGAAATCCAGGGGCTTCAATAGAATCCATTAACCTTAATTATTTGCCCTTTACATATACATAATTGAATCACTTACATCAGGGTTGATTGCCTTGAACACAGCCAGATCCAAAATTGTGAGTTGTTTCTGTTTGGAGAAAAAAATTCAAAGCAAAGTTAATTTGCATCACAAGCAGTGTCCAGTTCATAAACATGTACAACAGCATATGTAGTTAAAGATCTGTATGAACAGTTTTCTTTTTTTTTCTTTCTTTTTTTCAAATTCTTACAAGAAAGAAACATAAACAAACACTAAATAACAAAAAGGACAAATGGACTATTCACAAAATAAGAAAGTGACTTACAGCAAACTCTTCTGGTAGAACCTTCAGAACATCAAAGACTGCTGCATCAAAATTCTTTTCAACAGCACAATCAACCTCATCTTCCCCTGATGACTATAAATTATTTGATACCATAAGTTATTAAAGAAAAACAGCAATTGCTTGACAGCATATAGTAACTTTCAGAAATACACTAACAGCAATAACTGAGACATAAACAAGTTACAGTACTGCTTAGATATACAGATGTGCAGATATATTTTATACACACAGATGCAGGTTATTAGATGGAAATAGACACTATTAATGCATTTCTAGACAAAATACATGTGCAACTTAAATGTGTCTTTGTTATTCAATACTATAAGTTTATTTGGTGTCACACTGTTGTGTAAAACAAAGGACTTTAGGAGTTGACAATGGAAAATTTGCATTTGGAAAAAAGCCGTAATGATAATTATTACACACACTCATGTTGCATCCATTCAGAATTTATTGAATTATGAGTAGTGGTAATAGATTTGCTTGATTTATCTTGACTCTGATGATGACTTCCGCTCAGGTTGTCGAAACGTCAGTCACCACTACAGACAACATTCCTTCTCAGGACTACACTCACCCGGACGATCAAACTACACTATTACTTGATTTATCTTGTTGATGAATCAGAAGGAAAAGGAAAATCCTAACCCTAACCCTAACCCTAACCCTTAAACAAGGCACTCAGTATCATTTAGCAAATAACAAAGCAAAAACTCACCAATAGCCCACTAATTGTGAAAGATGTTTAAGTTCAGTTGTGATTTATTTCTACCTGGTATTCTGGTTCAATCCATCCTTACCTCGCCAGTGTAGTTGTCACTGCCATTGTCAGGAAGCTTTTCTGTGGACATTGCAATATTTACTTTCGGTGAAAGCTCTGCTTCCAATAAATGATGATTCGTAAAGGATACTTTTGGGGTTGACATTGTTGTAGCCTTATTTTCAATACACCTTGTCTACAACAAGTTGAAGAGCTGTGTGGGAAAAAAAAGGAAGAAAACCATTTTATAACAACACCATGTTATTATTGAAAATTTAGAGAGCTATGTGTACTACACTACACATGTACTTTTATCAGACTAAAATACAAGTAACTGCAGTTATTTTCATCTCTGTTTCTATTTCTGGCAGATCTATCCTGACATCAACATGGAGCTACATGTAAGACATACATTGTAAAAAGCATAAAGAGAGGCTTCATGTGTTTGCACCAGCCTATAACAAGAATAACTAGATCCTCATGATGAAGCAAACCTCTGGCCATTCTACCTCTTATGTGGAAAGCTTCATAAACTGAGCTTCAGAGAACTTTTTGGAAAGTTAGCCACATCAAAAAAAAGTCATCATGTCCTTGACAATTTTTTTATACATTGTATCAGAGGGTTAGGTTCAGAGTTAACAATCTTCTTCCTTTACCTTCATGTAAAACATCAATACATGTATGAAAAATGAATGTGCTTCACTTACATAATTTTTATAGTGTGAGACTACTCAAATGTCAATAATACATGCATTTTTCAATTCAAAAAAAATATAATCGAACAGTAACATCCCCTCTGTTGATGTGCTATAAATAAATGGCAGTAAGAAAAAATTATTCAATTTCTAAAAAACTGGCTTTTGCATGACTGACATGTGCAACCTTTGAACACCCCTTTGAAATTTCTATCATACAAGGTAACAAGAAAATCTTTGGAAACTAGCAAACAATAATTTACAGTATCTTGCAACACCCATGAGTATGAATCCTGAAAACAGACAAGGCACTTTCCAAAGAAGAAATTGCCAAATCGTTTGTTTACGCTGCTATAGATAAAAATAAAACCGAGGACCTCCTCTTGGAAAGTTCAAAGTAAACTCTACGTACGTGTTGTATCTGCGACCAAAGTTTACACACTGTCTGAAAATTAAACACCTCAAATATGTTGTATTTTGCAGCCTACAAGACCAGACAGAAAACTAAATTTCTCATTATATTGTGCAAATATTACGAAATAAGTTGTTCAAGATGTCTTACTGTTTGTGACAGAAATAAACAAGTCACGCATAAAGAAGAACAAAGCTTTTTTTTTTGTTTGTTTTTTGTCACCTGAAATAGAATATGACAATTTTGGTCTGTTGCAGTTTCGTACTGCAAATGTGGGAAACCATTTTCTATTTTCGTCTCTATTGCGATTGTTTTTAATTAGAAAGCACGACGTGTGAACTTTACATAGTGAACGTCGATCTTAACCAGAATCCAGAGTTTCCACTCTGGTGAGCGAATAAAATGTACTCGATATTGGTTTCATAAAAACACAGCTCTTTATTTTGTCTATTAGTGATATTAAATATATCATAGCTTAAAAACAAACTCGTTTTAGAAATAAATGAGACACTGTTGTCAGTAAGATTTCATTCCGAATACATTTTAAAACATAAAACATACAGACTGACCTTTACTCTAATTTCAATCATCATTTCAATCCCGGTCTTCCGTCGCAGGAAATGAAATCCATTGCGTTGGAGAAAATCCAGCGCTAAAGTTAAGCGGATGATACACTTGTCCACTTGTAAAGCTGTCAAAGCACGCAACACTCAAAATTTTTGATTTTTTCGGCGATTCCAATGGCTCCAATTCTTTTGTTTGCAAAACAGACCAGCTAGATATTTATTCTGCCCGCGCACGAACATGAAAACGAAAAAGTAAAGTTCGAGTTCTCCTGTGTTAAAAAAGTGGGAACTCAGTTCGATACTAAACTGAAAGCATACCTCACGCTTTCAAGGTGTCGGAAGATTCGATGTTTCCCCTACAGGACTGAAACTGAGAGCAGACGATGTCAGCATCTAATTTGAGAAAAAGGTCAACTTTTCATTGCCGAAGATGTCACGTTCTTGCTTCACGTAACGACACGTGACTGTCATTAACCCTTTTGCAATAAGAGCTCCAACAGGCAAGTCAATTTGGCCACGACAGCTTTCTCCAGCGCATAGACTTGTAATTTTTGAATCGTGTGAAACGTAAATCCGCACCTGACGATAAACAAAAGCTCGTCACAGCAATTCTTTGTGTCACAAAGCAAGAAAGTCACGCAGAGCTTACTTTTACTCATGCTCTCTGCGACCAACCGCTGACATGTCTTACTCCTTGCGCAATATTGATGCAATTGGCACACATGTTTTTCAAACGGCTGTATATGCTCACCAATGGAGTTCGAATTTAGGTCCTGTACTGTTCAAGACGGCCAATTTGAGGATGCCGAAGAAGACGAAAGTGTAGTGCCGAACTCACTGACTCATTATATTTCTCATGAACCCATCGGGAAAGAAGTACAGGGGCTGGACAAACATCAGAATTGCGAATCGATAGACCACGTGAAATCTTCTTCGGAAGACAGCGACGATGAAGATTTTGATGGATGGGATTGGGAAGACGAGACAGGGGATTTTACGAAACGTTATAACGCATCAAAGTCAGAGGTTCATGTTTCGAATACCACAGGTAAACGCCAGTCTTCTTTGCAACCGAACGAAAAATCGTTTTCAAAATTTGGCAATCGAATTAAAGTGGAGAAGTACGAGGGACCGAAATTATCCAACAAAGCCGCGAATGTTCTGATCCAAGCCAATAAGAAGCTTGAAAATGACAGAGTGCGTGCTAAAGATAAGGCAGACAGGGCCACTGTTGAACAAGTTATGGATCCTCGAACAAGAATGATTCTGTTCAAAATCCTAAACAAAGGAGTGATCAATGAAATAAATGGCTGCATCAGCACTGGAAAAGAGGCAAATGTATATCACAGCACGAATGCAAATGGTGACGAGAGGGCAGTGAAGGTTTACAAGACGTCCATTCTTATCTTTAAGGACAGGGATAGATATGTGACTGGCGAATTCAGATTCCGTCATGGATATTGCAAACACAACCCCCGAAAGATGGTTAAGACCTGGGCGGAGAAGGAAATGCGAAACCTTACGCGAATGTTCAATGCGGATATCCCTTGCCCAGAACCGATCATTCTTCGCAGTCATGTTCTCGTCATGAGCTTCATTGGGGTGGATGGCTGGCCAGCTCCTCTACTCAAGGATGTCACGTTGTCGGAATCTAAAGCTAGAGAACTGTACCTCCAGTGTATTCAGATCGTACGAAACATCTACTGGAAATGCCGTCTTGTTCACGCCGATCTGAGCGAGTTTAACATGTTATACAGTGGAGATCAGCTGTATGTGATTGATGTTTCGCAGTCTGTGGAGCACGATCATCCACACGCCTTAGAATTCTTACGAAAAGACTGTACAAATGTTACCGACTTCTTTAAGAAGAATGGAGTCTGTGTCATGAATGTTCGCGAGCTATTCGACTTTGTAACAGATCCCACCCTGAATGACGACAATGTGGACGACTATCTTAAGAGAGCACAAGCGATCGCCGCTAATCGTGGAGTTGAGGAAGAAACCCCTGAAGAGACAGTGAAGGAAGAAGTGTTTAAGAAAGCTTACATTCCCCGAACGCTCGAACAAGTTGTAGACT